TGGCTCAACCTGTAATCCCGCACCTTTGGGAGGCTGAGGTGAGTGGATTGCCAGAGCCCGCGAGTTCGAGACCTGCCTGGGCAGCGAGACCTCATCTCTACAATAAATAAAAAAATCAGCTGGGCGTGGTAGCGCATGCCTGTAATTCCGGCTACTTGGAAGGCTGAGGCGGAAGGATCACCGGAGCCCAGCAGGTAGAGGCTGCGGTGGCCGGGAGCGGCCACTGCACTCCAGTCTGGGCGACAGAGTGAGACTCCAACTCAAAAAAAGAAAGTAATTGCATTCATTTATGGTATAGATAATAAAATCACAGTACAAAATTCCAAAAGCTCAGAAGGATATATTGATATAGCTCCCTTTCACCAATTCCTCTAGTAAAAAACCACGTCAATAACTGGTGAAACAGAATGGATCATGCATTGTCAAGGACTCAAGGTGAAACATCCTGATCTTGAAGGTGTATGTCACCTAGCTCAAGCCAAGAACTTGCTGCTCAGAACTATACTGAGTAAAGTGGATTCTCTACTCAAGTTGGCAAACAGAGTACAGGCCTAAAGCTTGGGGCCAACAAGTCCCAGTGGACCACCAATTTTGAGCTGAGGCAAGTGAAACCTCAGGGACTTTGTATTCAGCCTGTGTGGTTCATGTTGGTTAGATGCCACATTTTATAACCCATTTATATCTTCTATCTGTTCCCTTGCCATGCTGGGGTCATGAAGTGTGACTTCTGGCTAATCTTTGACATTCAGTACCCTTGACATACGTTGTGGCAACTGCAGCAACCCAATTCCTTTCCCTTCCCTTTCATGGGACATGAAACTGAGGCCATGTGATAAATGGAAAAAAGCATTGCTTAGAGTAAAAAGCTGAGTTCTTGTTCTGACCCCCCACTGGGCATGTGACCTTGGACCCTCTTTGACTTAACTTCCCGGTCTGTGAAAAAGGGTGATTAATATCTATTATGTCTAGTCAAAACGCCAGGGCAAGGATCAAGTGAGTATGAGGCAACACCTCCTAAAATGATTTCTTCCTGCACTGAATACAGAGAGTAGAGTGGCCAAGAATGGAAGGGTCTCTTTTCCCAAATCAGCGGCACTCCAAAAGCTGCTTCATACACTCCTGTCAGTACCAAGTACAGAGGTCGCCTCTGTCAAATCTGAACAGAGCTGGTTCCTTTCTTTACCATCAGAAAACCATGGGCCAGGCGCGGTGGCTCACGCCTATAATCCCAGCACTTTGGGAGGCTGAGGTGAGAGGACTGCCTGAGCCCAGGGGTTCAAGACCAGCCTGGGCAAGCTGACAAGACCTCATCTCTACAATTGAAAAAAAAATAAGCTGGGCGTGGTGGCACACGCCTGTATTTCCAACTTCTCTGAAGGGTGAGGCAGAAGGGTCGCCTGAGCCCAGGAGGTCGAGGCTACAGTGGCCGCGAGCGTGCCACTGCACTCCAGCCTGGGCGACAGAGTGAGACTCCAAAAAAGGAAAAAAGAAAACCGTGGATCTCCTACTGAATCCCTGAACAGGCCCATTATGGGCAAGAACGTCTCCTCTCATTGTCTGAAGTGGATTTTAAAAGTGCTGCTGCTTTAGTTGTCCTCATGCTCTGACGTTTGGGAAACGCTCCCACCGAGGAATTTTAAGCTACCCTCTCTGTGCCTCTGTCGCGCCTCATCATCTGACCTCTCCTTCATGTATTGCCAACCAGCACCTGAGATGCTGAGAAAGAACAAAGTATTCTAAAGTCAAAGCCGACAAGTCCCTACCTCCAACTCACTCACTCAGTCCCTGGCCGGAGAAAGTCCTCTCAAGGAGGGCAGCGTCGGACCCTGTCCACGGGTACCCTCTAGTGGCAGCAGCGCGTAACTGCGGTCACCGCTAAGGAGGTGCGGAGTGCTGCAGCGTCCCCTGGCGTTGGCCCGGGAGACGCGCCGCGGGCGAAGAAACGGCGAGGTGAGCGGTCCAGAGGCGAGCTCTCCGGGCTTTCCGGGCGCTCAAGTGTACGCGTGCACTGCTTGGGCGAGGGGACTGTACGTGAGTGTCTTAAAGGCTAGTGTGCATGCGTGCAGGTTTAAGCGTGTTTATTGTGCCCAGGAACGCGAACCTGTGCCTCTGCTGTGTTAAGTGTGTGCCGTATGTGGGAGCCCACGCGTTCACACGCGGGTAGGTCGCTTGCGGGGAGGTCTGCGCCTCCAGTGCAGGGCGGAGTCCTCACGGAGGCGTGAAATTGGTTTGGAGCAAACACATTACGGTAAGCAATTACCGGGGAGAGGTTCTGGGCCCGCGGGACCAACAGCCCGGAGGCCTGGGGAGGAAGCGCCCTGGCTTGCAAGTGTCTGATGTCTGGGCCCAGAGAGGACCTTCCTAACATTGCCCCACTAAGGGGAAAGCACGCGGACCTGGGCCCAGCTCCTTACATTCACCACCTGCATTGCCTTTCTTCCCTTCCCCCCTCCTTTTAGGCATCCCATAACCGAGCGCTCTCAGATATGGTCAGAAATCCCCCTCGTCCACTTTTTATCACTTTAGGCGAGGTATCCCCTCCTTCTGTGAAGTCGTCCCAGGTTCCAACCCCTATTCCTCGCCCCCCTCCTCATGCCCTCAGCTCTGACTTCCACATTTATGTTGTATTCATTCTGCTGCTCCTTGTATTCTAACTCGTTATTTACAGGCTTGTTTCTCAGACTAGACTGAAAATTCACCGAGGGCAGGAGCACGCCTCACTCGCAGCCGTATATCTGGTACCTAAAACCTGGGCTCCAGAAGCACAAAATGAACACAGTGCATAGGTTTAAATAGAATTTCCATCAAAATTCAAAAACAGGATTCTCTCAGGAAAGGCATCCCCTTGAGAGACAGGGTGCTCTTACAACAGAGCCTTAAACATCTTAAACATCTTTCACATGCCAGTGACCCCACATTTGTATGCCCAGACCTGCCCTTGTCCCCGAACTCCAGATTCATAGATCCAAAAGCCCTTTCGACAGGTTGAACATGTCCAACATCGACCTTTTGATCCCTATTCCTTTCTCATCTTCCCCACCTTAGTGGTTCGCACCACCATCCACCCAGTTGTTCAAGCCAAAAGACTGGGGGTCACCCTGGACCCTGGCTTTTCTTCTGCCCCCCACATCCACTCCATCAGCAGTTCTCCTACAGGATCCCAAATCTGACTACTACCCTTCTCTGGCCTGGACAGCTGCAATAGCCTTCCATCTGATTCTCGATGGCCTCCCTTCCCCAAGCCACTCAGCAGCCAAAGTGATCTTATATTTATTATTATCATTATTAATTTATTTTTTGAGTCGGGGTCTCACTCTGTTGTCCAGGCTGGAGTGCAGTGGCAGGATCCTGGCTCACCGCTGCCTCCAACTCCTGGACTCAAGCGATCCTCCTGCATCAGCCTCCCAAGTAGCTGTGACTACAGGCACACGCCTCCACACCTGGCTTTTTTTTTTTTTTTTTTTTTTTTTGTAGAGACAAGGTCTCACTATGTTTCCCAGGCTGGTCTCAAACTCCTGGGCCCAAACCATCCTCTTGCCTTGGCCCCCACAAAGTGCAAAGATTACAGGCCACTGCACCCCCGCCCAGAGTGACCTTTTAAAACCTAGATCAGGCCAGGTGTGGTGGCTCACGCCTGTAATCCCAGCACTTTGGAAGGCGGACACAAGACGATTGCCTGAGTCCAGGGGTTCGAGACCAGCCTGGGCAATCCGGTGAGACCTCATCTCTACAATAAATAAAACAATTAGCCAGACGTCGTGGCACACACCTGTAGTTCCAGCTACTTGAAAAGCTGAGGCAGAAGGATCACCTGAGCCCGGCAGGTTGAGGCTGTGGTGGCCAGGAGCGTGCCACTGCACTCCAGTCTGGGCGAGTCAGACTCCGACTCTAAAAAAAAACCTAGACCCATTCCTGTCACTCCTCTGATCTTCCCCACTTTACTCACAGGGCTGGTTCCCCCTTGTCATTCAGATCTCAAGTTCAATGTCACCTCCTCAAACAGTAGGTTTCTCTGTCACCCACTCTTGAAATAGCTTCCACTCTGTCACCCTTCTGCATTCTTCTCCCTGGGGGTGATACTCCCCCACGTCTGCTCAGAGGCTCCCTGTTCCCACTAGAAGGCGAACTCGGGTGGGAACTGGAGGGCAGGCCCTCAAACAGTCCTGGAACAAAGGAGTGAGCACGGGGACATTCTCCTGGGAGCCCCCCACCCCCACCCACTTGACAAGACGGGGGTCTCCAAGGCCCTTGGCAGGGAGAAGGCCTCCAGGGGCAGTTTCTCGCATACAGGTCTTGGAGAAAAACAATTCCTGACCCCACCTTGTGAGAGGGGGCCTGTGGGCTCAGGGCCAGCCTCGACCACCTGCAGACCCCCACCCTAGACCCTGAGTCGCGCCCCTCACACCTGAAGCCAGGTGGGCCGGTGAGACCAGGGTGGGAATCAGAGCTCACTCACACCCGCTCTGCTGCTCCTCCTCTGCCTTCTGGACGCCCTCCCGGCTTCGCGCGCAGGTTGTCGCCAGTCGTCTGGCCCCACGCCCTTCCGGCCACGCCCCCACGGCCTCGCGCCCTCTCGGCCCCGCCCTTCGCCGTCTGGCTCCTGGCGGTTGGCGGGAAAGGCTCGAGCTCCGGCGCATGCGCACTCCGGAGTCCTGGAATTCTGTTCGGCGACCCATGACGTCAGGAATCACCGTGCATTTGATTGGCTGCTCTGTCCCGACAAGCCTACCTTCTCTTGCAGGCCTCTCGGGGCTACTTGGGGCCCCCTGCAGGTTCCAAAATTATCCTGCTAATGCGATGACCCTCAGCGACTCTCCTCTCTCTCTTTTTATAGGTGTGAAACTTGAGCCCAGAGAGGAAAAAGACATATTCCACAAGTTAATGGCAGAGTTAGGACTAGAATAGGGTTCTGTCACTCAGCTCAGCGCTCTTGCTACCACGGAGCTTTTTATCCTTTTTAAGGATAAAAAGTCGCCGGAACCGGGCGTGCATCCAGTGTTCCCTGACTTTCAGTATCAGGCAGTAGGTAGAATTGGCTCTGTCTTTCCAAACCTGGGCCCTTCGCTCTCACCTGTAGCTACAGCTACCCTCCACAGTTGGCCACCCCACGTGCCCCTGCCCCACCTTCCCGGTGGCTCCCTGGCCTCCTTCCCTCCCCTCCCTACCCCACGGCTTCCTGTGCCCTCCTGCCCAACTCTCTGCACTGCCTCCATTTGTACCTCGCACGTCACTTAGGCTCTTCCTAACATGCTGTCATGCGGTAGCCATTGTCATTTTAGGGGGCCAGAGGAGCAGGTCGGCCTGGGACTCCTAAACAGCTGGTGGGCGTCAAAGGGGGAGGTGACACAGTTAGCACCGTGGGGCAGAGACGAGAGGCCCCTCTAAGTGGGCCCATCCTGACTCCCCCTCGAGGGAGGGGGCTCAGAGGAAGGTCAGACAACACCAAACACAGGCCTGGGGATTTTTAATGCAAGTACAGGGTTTACACAGGCTAGAAGGGAGCCTCAGGAGAGCCCCAAGAGGAGTCTGTCTTCATCAAACATCATCTGACTGCCGAGGTGTGTCCACCTCTCTCTGGCCAGAATCACAGCATAGACATCTGCCTGCGGAGATAGATCTCTTGCTGTGGGGCTACCCAGCCTGAGTCTGTACAGATAAGCGCCCCCCCACGGGCTGGGGCATCAGCTTTCAGCCTCTCTCAAAAGGCAGTGGACATCTGGAAGGGAAGGTTTGAATTCAGAGGCTTCTGGTGGTTCAACGTGAACAAGTTCTGACCAGGGTTCTCCCCCAACCTTGCTTCCTACCTATCCCCCACCCCCAAATGACTGGACCGTCCACAGAACCCAGACTCACCTAGTAGAGCACGTCCTCAAAATCTAGCTGCAGGTAGCGGAGCAGGGGGGGTGGCAGGGGAAGGCGCGGCAGGGCGTGGGGCAGGCAGGCTGCCAGGTGAGAGCGGAGTGCACAGCGGCTTAGATGCTGCAGCGACCTGGGTTGCCTCACCAAGGCGAAGAGGGAGGAGTAGAAACGCTGATGCTTCTGCGGGACAGAACAAGGGGCTCAGTGAGGGCAACCTTGGACAAGTGGCGCTCACTTCTCTTTACAGGGGTAGGCTGGTGACCAGTGGGGTGTCCATAGAAACCTCTTAGAAACAGTGAATGTTTTGGTGTTCACTCCATGAGTTTTCTTTTGGTACATGAGCAGGTCTTGGGGTAATTTCTGTGGAGGACTGATGGGTCTGCCATTTACGGGGTAGGAATCTCTTGGGACCAGGCTGGAGTGATTCTGCGTTCAGGGTCCTGGAATCTGACCTGCAGAGTTTCAGGAGGTACCAGGCCCATGGCCTCCTCAGGAAGCTGCATGAAGCTGTAGGTGTTCATCAGGACCTCGATGGTCCGAGGAGATGTGCACCAGCGCTCCAGCACCTGGAAGAGGCAGAGACGCATGGGGTCCCCACTCAGTCCATGCAGGGTGACCAGACAGCTCCAAAACAGCTGTTGTGGGTTGAATTTTGCCCCCACCCCCAAAGATACATTGACGTCCTAACCCTGGTACCTATGAATGGGACTTATTAGGAAATAGTCTTTGCAGATATAATCGAGTTAAAATGAGGTCATTAAGCGTGGGCCCTAATTCAATATGACTGATGTCCTTCTAAGAAGAGAAAACAGAGACACAGACACATACACAGAGTAGGCCATATGATGACAAAGGCAGACAGTGGAGTGTTGTGTGTATAAGTCAAAGAGCACCTCCAGCCTCCTCAACTGTAAAGGAGTGAATTTCTGTTGCTTTAAGCCACACAGTTTGTGGTCTTCTGCCATAGCAGCTCCAAGGAAACCAATACAACAGCTAACCTTTCTACTGTGCATAACTGATGTTAGATACTTTTCTTAGTACTTTACATGTATGAACTATTTTGTTTCCTTTTTTTTTTTTTTTTTTTTTTT